TCTCTTCTCCAGACTAAAGAGTCCCAGCTCTCTCAGTCTCTCCTCATAAGGGAGATGCTCCAATCCTTGAATCATCTTTGTAGCCCTACGCTGGACTCTTTCTAGTAGTTCCCTGTCCCTCTTGAACTGGGGAGCCCAGAACTGGACACAGTACTCCAGTTGTGGCCTCACCAGTGCAGAGTAGAGGGGGAGAATGACTTCCCTTGACCTGCTGGCTACACTCTTCCCTATACAACCCAAGATACCATTGGCCTTCCTGGCCGCAAGAGCACACTGTTTACTCATTGTCATTTTACTGTCCACCAGGACCCCTAGATCTTTCTCTTCAGTAGTTGCCTCTAGCGGGTCCACCCCTAACCTATACTGGTACCTGACATTTTTCTTCCCCAGGTGCAGGACCCTACACTTTTCCCTGTTGAACCTCATGAGGTTCTTCTTTGCCCAGCCCTCCAGCCTGTCCAAGTCTCGCTGGATATTGATGATGAAATATATAGAACATCAAGACTTTGAAATGCTTCCACAATCCTGTGATAGTTGTCATGTTTAAAACAACCTTGTCTTTATGTATAGAGCTTTGTTGGTAAGAACCAGAAAGTGGAAGTTAGGAGATCTACTTCCGGGTTCACGTTCCATTATAGATTCCCTGGATGATCCTTAACGACAAAACAAAGCTACAGGTCAACTTCATCAGAAAAAATGTGATGGAGAGATCAAGGTCTATTGCCATGTCTCAGGGGGCATCAGTTTGTTCTACTTCAGGCCTCGGTTTGATCCAGAAGTAAATGGAAACTTTTCTGTCTGAATTCAAGAGTCAAGTAGTGAGACACAAACCCTATGTCACCACTATAAGAGCGCAAGCCACTAACACATGGTGTGCCTTCACCACATCTTTTGGAAGAGCCCACTAGGCTCTTCAGGACACATCTTTGACCATCTCTTTTTCTCTCTCTTTCTTTATTTTTTTTCCCTTCTGGTTGGAGGAGAGAGCTGTGTTGATCGGGGCACAAAGTATTTGCAAAGTGCTGTTTGAATAGAATTGGCAAGAAAATATGTATTTTTCTTATGAAACGTAGGGATATTTTCTGCAGTATCCTCAATTTTGCACTAATAATAAAGTTAAAAAAGCCCTTAGGAAATAGACTTTTACAACCAAAAGCTGGTTCATGTAGAGACAGCCCGGATCCCGCTGTGAACTACTTATTATAGGTAGTCCCATCTGTAACTTCCAAACCATCCTGCTTTGAGTCTCTGCCACAGTAGGAGTTTTAATCTCCATTTCCCTCCAGTTCTTGGGTGATGCAGGAGCTGCTGGTGACCCAGTACAGCAGCACAAGCTCTGTCTTCCTGTTAAGTAAGAGCTCCAGGCTACCCGAAAACAGGAGCCTTACATAAACACCCAGTATTTTGGGGCGAAAAATCTTATCAAAGAATCAAATCAGCAGGGAGGGCAAGAAATATCAGTGCCTATTCCATCAGGAGCTTTTGTCTTATGGAAAGTGGGATTTGCCTGATTTTCAAGTGATTTCTGGAGGGTAGGTACCTCTCGTCACAGAACCTTCACTGAGACACCGAGGTGACATGTTTGGAGTCCAGTGTTAGAAGGAAGGAACAAAGAGCTCTTTGTTTCTGTATCCTCCTTATAGGCATTCTCATAAATAAATATATAAATGAAAACTCTCCAGAATTAGTATAGACTAAGAAAGCTCTGTGGAGGTTGCTAGGCAGCCGAGGCCAAAGGAATAGAAAGCAGGCATGTCTTTGGAAAACAGAATCAGCGACTTATGGGTTATCTGGAGTCACCATTTACTCCATTGTCTTTTGTCATCAACAGGAGACAGTAGAATTCATTTTTCTTTAGTAAGTGAGCAATGTATAAAACTATTTGAAATGAAAGTCCTGTTTTATATCTCATTTCAATCAGTGCTTTCAAGCTATGAAATTACATGTATGGTTATTATTTTTGATGTTTATTTATTCATTGAATGAAACAGGAATTTGGTGCAGTGTTTCCAGGCTATAACTTGAAAACGATTTAGCAGAGTAATTAATTTTTAAGCTTTTGTCTAATTTTCATTTTTACCACAATGTGCACATAATGCTCTAAATGAAAGAAGTTTCCAGGGCTGGAAAGTATACCTTGCCCTCAAGAGGTGTCTGTGTTTCACTATTGCTAACGACAAGGAAAGACTTAATTTCTACCACCGTGCCCTGTATGATGGATGATGGAGCTACTCATTACAGAAATGTGGCAGTAACACTCCCCTTCCCCCCCTCCCCACTTCTTATTACTGCTAAGCATGCAAAAATGCAGGCATTTCCAGTTGGGAAGGGTTTTATATGCAATATTAGGTGATTGCATTATTGACTAATTGCTGCCTTTGAAATCTCTGCTTATATTTGTGTCTTAAATCATAGATTCATAGAATGGTTAGAGTTGGAAGGGACCTAAAGATCGTCAAGTTCCAACACCTCCTTCCAGACCAGGTTGTTCAAAGCCCCATCCAACCTGGCCTTGAACCCTTCCAGCCATGGGGCAGCCACAGCTTCTCTGGGCAACCTGGGCCAGGCTCTCACCACCCTCACAGCACAAAGAATTTCTTCCTGAGATCTCATCTAAATCTCCCCACTTTCACTTTAAAACCGTTACCCCTTGTTCTGTCACTGCACTTCCTGACAAAGAGTCCCTCCCCAGCTCTCCTGTAGCTCCCTTCAGATATTGGAAGGCCACTATAAGGTCTCCCTGGAGCCTTCTCTTCTCCAGGCTGAACGCCCCCAGCTCTCTCAGCCTGTCTTCATAGGGGAGGTGCTCCATCCCTCTGATCATCCTCGTGGCCCTCTGCTGGACCCATTCCAACAGGTCCATGTCCTTTCAGAGCTGGACACAATACTCCAGGTGGGGTCTCACGAGCGCAGAGTAGAGGGGTAGAATCACCTCCGAAGTGATTAAAGTCTTCTTGAAAGGGACTGTGCTTTCAACAGCTGTATTATACTTACATCGAGGGGATATTATAATCCTACAACTCCCCTCCCTTCTCAGGGACAGCTCTATATCTTGTTTTTGCTGTTGAGCAACCTGGTCTGATGGGAGGTGTCTCTGCCCAGGGCAGGGGGTTGGAACTCAATGATCTTTAAGGTCCCTTCCAACCCAAACCATTCTATGATTCTATGATTTAGTCTAGTTATTCTCTCCCAATGTCTTCAAATTATGTCTCTACAAGATTCAATTCATCACAATTTTTTCATTATGTGTTTCTTCCACAGGGTGGATGCTGTGGGGGGGTCCAGGCAGCTCTGTGCAACAGTCTCCAATGGGGTAGTAGGATGAGAAGGTCCAGGGGTATTTTGGGAAACGAGGCGAAACATCACATCCCAAGACGGTAAACGTACCGAAAAGGTAATTCATGTTAGGATATTGATATGCAGTCAGCGTTTCAGGCTCTGGGGAACTCGTGGCTCTCGTGGAAGGGAATGGCAACACACATCTTTGGGGCTGAGTGTTTATACAGAGTATCCTGAAATTCTTTCAAGAGCTTCTTAAACCACACCGAGTTTCAACTCCCTTTCTGAGTCTGAGGGAGAGTTTGGAGGCTGTATCTTGTCTTGCTGTGGACCTGTTAGAGACTATAAATCACAGGTTTACAATAATTTTCCAATATATTCCTTATAGGACTTAAAAACTCATGGAAATGCCAGCTTATCAGCCATATTACAATTTAACGTAATGAAATGTTGTTTCACAGAGAGAGTTAATGGCTTTGTTTTTAACTGTATGAAATCTTGTTTGGCTGGCTTATTGGTCTCACATTCCAGGCTTAACTGTTGTGTTTCTCTCTTTGGCCCCTGAAGCCTTAACTATGGATGGTTCTGTTGCTAGAATTTGAGAAATCCAAGAGAATGTGTAAACTAAAGATCTGTCATCCCTCAGTGTCACTATAATGCTTCTTCCTTCATGTCAAGAGGTCGAGTTGAGCCATGAACATGAAGTTCCTGTGCTGTATTTCTGAGCCCAGTTAACTTTCAGTACGTCCATACTATGCACACATTTATTGGTCCTCAGCTAAAATGAAGTTTGATGAACAAACTGATTTTGTCCACTCATCCTAAACCAATCATTTCCCGTGGTCCTTCATGAAATATCAGACAGGCTGACCTGCTGCGTTCATTTATTAATGTGCTTTAATATATGCAGAGTGTAAGAATATTAACAATGGAAAATCACACTGGTGGAAAATAAAATGGGATTTTTGATGCAAAAATTTTCATAACGATCTATTTCCACGTCTCGTAAGACACCAAAAAAGCACAAAACATCTTTTAATTAGGAAAGCTTTTCTTTGCTCAGGAGTATAGGTGTTCTGGCTGGTTGAGTGCTAGGTTAGGCTTTCAAATGTCTCTGGGAAATATCTTCCTCTTCGTTGCTGGTATCCTCTCTCCTGCTCCCTGGTATTCATTAATTAAAGCCATTCAGAGATTCCACTGCTGTGATTCACAAACTTCTTCCATGCTTCACCAGGCTTGGCAGCTGCTGGAAAACAGGCCAATCTGCATGTCCATAACGTTACCCAGACTTAGGTCTTTGTCTAACCTGTAGCTGTGGTGGATAGTAGAAAGCCTCTGGAAAGAATAGAAACTATTTTGCTACCTGGGAGAAGTTATAAATGAATTTGTGACAAAAGAAAGGTTCGATACAGGAAAGTGAGAGCAAGCCCAGCTGTTTCCTCCTGCATTTATACAAATAATGATAGTTTTCAGTTTATATATTTTCATTATACTCTTCCACTCGAAGTTATTGCTGATCAATTCAACACAGGTTCTCCAGACCTAATTTCGTTTTCTATTATGTAGAAGAAATTAGTTAACATGACCACCTGTCTCCTGGACCAAGCACAGCATCGCTAGCCAGTCGAGGGACATGATTGTCCCACTCTACACAGCATTGGTGTGGCCCCACCTCAAATGCTGTGTGCAGTTTGGGGGCCTCAATCAAACTATTGGAGTGTCACCAGAGGAGGGTAACCAAGATGGTTGAAAGGTCTCCAGGGAAAGACTTACGGGGTCACTTGGTTAGTTCAGCTTGGAGAAGAGAAGGCTGAGAGGTGACCTCACAGCCATCTACAACTTCCTCAAGAGGAGCAGTGGAGGGGGAGGCACTGATCTCCTCCCTCTGGTGATCAGCAACAGGACCCAAGGAAATGGAGTGAAGCTGCATGAGGGGAACTTCAGATTGGACATTAGGGAAAGGTTCTTCACTGAGAGGGTGGCTGAACACTGGAATAGGCTCCCAGGGAAGTGGTTATGGCATCAAACCTGTCAGAGTTCAAGGAGCATCTGGACAATGTTCTTAGTCATATGATTTAGTTTTAGGTAGTCCTTTGAGAAGCAGGGAGTTGGACTCAATGATCCTTGTGGGTCCCTTCCAACTTGAGATATTCTATGATTTTATGAATGTAACCTATATGCCGCAGACAACAGCTTGAATTCCAGGCTTTACAGAAAAGAAGTTACAAACCTTCGGGGCAAATATGGAAAGAAACTGAAATTAGATGAGATGACATCGTGATATCTTCATCTGCAACATACTAAATAAAGTTTGAACTTCTCTACCCCTACCCTTAATGAGAAACAGGAAGCATAATGGATTGATGTTTCAGTCTCTGATTCACTGCTTAAACTGTGTTTCACGTGAACTATTGTTGGAAATGCCATTTTGAATGAAGGAGAGGGAAGATAAGAATGCTGTTTTAATAAAACTTGAAATCTTGATGGTAAAAGGTAATTTATATTTTCAGTAAGAGGCTTTCACCTTCATTGGACTCTAATGATATTGATCCAATATCAGTAGTAAGTATATATTCTTGAATTCTGACCAGATTCTGCTTCTGGTGGGAACCACAAATGCTTCACATTGTTCAGCAAATATACCTTCATTCTGTGCTTTTCTTTGGCTGGTCAGTTTACAAGTGGCTGCATTTTGCTGTTCTGTGTGACAAATACCTTTTTTGGGTCTGTTTTAAGATGAAGGGTTCAAAATTTTATGTTTGGGGCAATCGCTATGCCCCTTTAAGGTTATTTATAGTAAAGTCATAGTAGTCAATGCTGGGTTTGGTTTTGTTTGTCGTTTTCTAACAGCAAAGAAAACAGTTGTGTTTCATGATTTATGGAAAAGTTCAAACCTTTCAAATTAAGCGAAGGGCATAGAGCTTCAGAATGAATTATGTTCTTAAACATAATGAAAATCTCCATTTGAGAATGAGGCATGACCCAGGGTTTGGAACAGAACAGAAGAAATGAGATATTCAAATCAAACCAGAAGTTCTTTTCACCTAATAACAATTCCTGTAGCCACGTTTAGAACAAAGCCTCTATTTTGAACGTCTATAGATGCTGATCTGTATGTGCACAACTAGCTCTACACAGCTGGCGACTGGTAAGACTCCAGTCACAAAGCATGAGTAGGAAAAACTGTGTAGGCAGTGCCCATTGCTAGCAGGCAAAGGGAATGCTCTTTATATCTGTAAATGAAAACTGGGAAGCTTAAGTTCAGTGTTTTTCTTCTTTTTTTTTCCCCTTTCCACCAGGAAACCTCTAAGGTCTTAGCAAAAGAATCCTTAGAACCGTAGTCAATAACTCTCAAGAGACAAATGAAGATGGGAGAATTTAATAGCATTTCCTTTAATATTTCACAGAATCACAGCCTAGCAGGGGCTGGAAGGGACCTCTGGAGATCATCCAGTCCAACCCCCTGCCAGAGCAGGGTCACCCAGAGCAGTCTGGACAGAAAGGAGAAGGAGACTTCACCATCTCCCTGGGCAGCCTGTTCCAGGGCTCTGCTACCCTCAAAGTAAAAAAGTTTTTCCTCATGTTCAGATCGAATTTCCTGTGTTCCAGCTTGTGCCTGTTGCCCCTTGTCCTGTCACTGGTCACCGCTGAGAACAGACTGACCCCATCCTACTGACTACCCTCCTTTAGATATTCATAAGCATTGATGAGATCCCCTCTCAGTCTTCTCTTCTCCAGACTAAAAAGACCCAAGTTCCTCAGCCTGTCCTCATAAGAGAGATACTCCATTCCTTTGATCATCTTCATAGCTTTCTGCTGTACCCTCTCCAGCAGTTCCCTGCCCTTCTGGAACTGGGGAGCCCAGAACTGGACCCAGTGCTCCAGATAGGGCCTCCCCAGGGCAGAGCAGAGGGGCAGGATGACCTCCCTCCACCTGCTGACCACGCTTTTCTTGATACCCCCCAGGATGCCATTGGCCTTCTTGGCCACCAAGGGCCCATTGCTGGCTCATGGGCATCCTGTTGTCCACCAGGACTCCCAGGTCTTTTTCCTCAGAGCTGTTGTCCAGCAGGTCAGCCCCTAACCTGTACTGGTGCAGGGGATTATTCCTCCCTAGGGAGGGATAGTCTTTCACAAAAGACTAAAGACCATGAATAGACCATTGGATCACTGAAATTATCTGAGAAATAAAATATGAAAGATATGAGTTACCAGGAAGCCTTCACCTGTATTACTCAATGCCATATAGATCTCTCTCTCTAAAGCTGATAACACGATGTATAATAAATTTCATGTTTTGTGGGGAAAAGTGCTGCATTCTGTTGGTTTAAACTTACTGTGTGAAATTCCTCCTTCGTTAAAAACTGATAGAAAAGCTGCCTCCTTTAGTGTGTCAGAATGCCAATGACTCAGTGTCTCAATATACTTCTTTCTTTTCTTCCTCTCTCTCAGGTTTGTCTTTTTGTTCATCTGCCACCTTTTTTTTTTCTATTGTTATTTTCCCATTATTATTTAATTTCTTACCAATTGCGCTTCTCTTCCTGATTTCTTATTTCATTCCTCCAGTTCTGTTAAGATAGGAGGCAGAAGATTGGTCATCTGAAACTGAAGGAGAACAGTCTGGGGTATTCACTCTTAGTAAGATTGAATGTTCGGGCACCTTCTGCTGAATGTTCTAGTCCCTATACTGTTCCAGGATCGTGTCCTGCAATTTTTAATATTTGCTTTAGTGGAAATTTTGCTTTGACTATGGTAGAATAGAACTGATGGTAGAAAGGTTGATCTGAATACCAGATAGTAAATTTCTTTCCTTCAATCTCTTGACATCTTGGGGAGTAGCGGAGGATTAGCTATTGATTTGGCAACATGTAATTGATAGATAACAAAAATTCATCTCCAAACTACTTTAAACCTCTTCTGATAGAAGAAACCACATTCAAGGAGGGTAAAGGGGAGGGAAAGAATTGACTCTCGGGTGCACCGAGCACATTGATGTGACATTTGTACCTGTTGTAGAAGGTGAGGACTCTGAGAAGTGGTTAATATACCAGAGATCAGAGGCACAGCAGCTTTTGCTTGTATCCAATGTCTGATATAATATTTATCGTGAAGATA